GAGTGATGATGGTGCTTGAAGGACATCGCTGGATGATGTTGAAGATGAAGTTTAACGACCTCTACTATCGACTGAATTATGGCGTCAAAATTGCGATTACTGTTGGGCCTCTCCACGGGATCACGTATTTTTCTGCGCTTGAGGTAAGACTTGACTTGATTGTTTTACATTTTTGAAAATATGTGTTTTTCATTTTGCAGTACTTATTTTTATACATTGGATATTTACTAATGGCACTTCAATCTTAATAAGCTTCATAAAAGTATTGGAACCTAACTTTTTAACTTGCAAACTTGCAATTTAATGAAGGCGAGCGGCCGACTGATTATCTTAAAGTAAAACACAAGCTACTTTAGTTTTATTTATATTTTTCTAAACAAAGAAGTCATTCAAGTTGTATGAACTCTTTTTCATGATCTTATAGCTGAAAAGTAAAAACTCTACGTAGACCAGAATGTACTAGAGAGAAAAAACAGATTAGCTTTAGTTGTGCTAAAAAAATCTCCAAAATTTCACCTTGGTGAAGGTTTTAAAAGTAATAAGAGCAATATTTCCATAAGTCAAACCGTAGCGTCGTCGACAGTGAAACGTCTGTATCAGCCCCGACAATGTCATTCGAGCCCTAAGGTGGCCAATCTTGTTCAGGTTTGCCAGGTAGATGGTGATGAGCAGACGAGCCGGCTTGTGAAAGTGTCGGCCAAAGTTGGCGGCCACGTAGTGCAGCGCAAAGATGGTGCCAAACTGCGGCAGAATGAGACAGACGAAGAAGAAGGCCTGCATGCCGTGGACGTGGCCCTGCAGCAGCAGCATCACCATCCACACATTTATCGGACAATTAATAAGAAGGTAGGCGAGGAAAAGCTTTGCCATGTGCCCGTTGAAGCGACCCACAAACCGGACCGTCTGCACGGCGTAGATCTTGTAGACGTAAAGGTGGGTCCAGAGGAAGGAGTGCCGAATGTAGAAGAGGTAGCGGAAGTTGTGGTTGCACTTGACGTACAGATTGAGCAGCTGTGCCACCGCATGCACGGCGCCCAGTGTGCAAATGTGAGCGAATCCGTAGATGAAGACGGAGAAGGCGACCACCTGCAGAAGGTGGACAAGGATGCTCGCAATTCCATAGACGCTAGTCAAAACCGCCTCAAAGTGGCGACAGTACAGCGTGTTCATTATCTCCACTTCGCTCTTCATCAGGAAGAAGTCAATGACAAGAATGGACACTTGAAGGGTGTTCAGCGACGCCCAGAGGATGTTTCGCGTGAAGACGTAGATGTCGTACTGTTTGTAGGTGGAGAAAATGTAGAGGTTGCGACTGTACCGCTCAAAGACAATCTGCTGCATCAAGCGGTTGACCGCCAGATCGGCGCCAAAGTACATCTGTTGGAAGAAGTAGATGGTCAGCGCGGCTATCGAGCTGGCAATCAGACCAGTGATGCGTTTTGGAAAGGTCAGGTAGTAGGCGCTGAAGTGCAGCAGACGGTCCAGCTCGCTCTGCGGCCACAAGGACAGGTATAGAAAGTGTAGACATTTGTACAATAGAATCAATTGAATTGCCTGAATATACCGAGCTGAGTGGTTATTCCTGTAAATAAGAATACTTTCTGCAGTGGATATGTACTGCTGGTAGTAGGATAGGGGTTTGTATGGAACGACGGTGTATAAAAGTTGATACATTTCTAGTTTGGATAGAAGTGAAGTTTCAAANAACAATAGAATCAATTGGATTGCCTGAATGTACCGAGCTGAGTGGTTATTCCTGTAAATAAGAATACTCTCTGCAGTGGATATGTACTGCTGGTAGTAGGATAGGGGTTTGTATGGAACGACGGTGTATAAAAGTTGATACATTTCTAGTTTGGATAGAAGTGAAGTTTCAAGCATGTTAACAAATAATTTTAAAATTTTGGTTAACATTTTGCTTTACTTTACTTTATTTTTTTGACAAGCTTATTGCCAAGATTATTTTTCGACAATTTTGATGAAATTTACTATTGCTTGAACTAATTTGTAGTTTTTAATTAATTACTACTTTTGACAGGAAATAAATGTTAAATGGATAGAGCTGTCAACAAAACAAGAAATATTTTGACAAAATAGAGTTTTTAAAATTTATTTTCTACAGAAATGATCATTACATACAACCAATTGACATTGTAAATTAGTTGGAAAATGGTCAAATAAAAACGTTTAAAATGGAGTAACAGTGCACTCGGCAACTCCTCTGTTGGTAAGGTTGAGCACTGCTGCTGCGGCAGGAGTCACGTCGATAATTCGGCCCGCCACATGAGGTCCTCGATCGTTTATGCGCACCTCAGCCTGAGCACTGTCCACTGTGACGCGCACATTGGTGCCAAATGGCAGTGTATTGTGGGCAGCAGTCATCGCCTGTGGATTGAAAGGCTCACCAGAAGCAGTGAGAGCACCGGGCGGTGCGTCGTACCAAGAGCAAATGCCGTCTGCAGAAAAAACGAAACAAATAGTCAACTTGAAGAGGTAAAGCATTAAAGTTTTTACGTTCAGTCATTTTGATTTTGTATGATACATTTAGTAATATTACCCTCCTCTTTATATAAGTAGCTAAAAGTTTACAACGTTTACTCAGCGTGTTGTTGACTAAACTGATGTGTTTAATTCTGGTAAACAAAATTTTCTAACTTCAATATAAAAAAAGTTTTGCCAAAAGTGCAATAAAAGGAAGATAACAAAACGCATACCAAGAATTTATTTGCAAAGAAATAAAATGCATCTAGAAGTACTTGGAAATTGCATCAAATTTAGAAATCGTTACTTTGCATTGGTAAATAAAAACTGCAATGGAATGCCTCATTGACAAATTAAATGTTGGCTTCCCTAAAAATATCCTTAAATGTGACTCAAATATATTTTGAAAAATAAAGTTATTTCTGAATCCACTCATAAGATTAAGATAAAACAAAAAGTATAGTGTAGTTTGGAAATCAATACTCTAAAAAATAAAACATAAAGTTTTTTAAAATAATTTATTAGAAAATTTCAATACAGTTTAACTGTACAGTTTGAACACTTTAACACTGAACCAGTTTCCGGTTTCTTATCCCTGATTAAGGGTAATCAGTCTTAACTCGTTTAATCCAGCTGAGATACTTCTCAACGTTGGTGAAAACTGCTGGGCGTGAACCTCCGCAAATCTTGTCACCGTAGGAAGTGATTCCAACCAGCACATAGGCTCCTTGGGAGTTCTTGCACATCAAGGGACCTAAAATTAATAGTTTAGATTAATTAGATTTTTTGCTTAAAAATGAAGACTTAAAATGTGCGTTATTTCTACAACAACTTACCACCTGAATCCCCAGAACAAACGCCATGTTGGGAGTAACCAGCGCACACCTGCAGATCGCTAATTTCTGGATGTTGGGTTTTGCATTCGCTGGCGCTAAGCATGTTATGGTCGACTTCCTTCAAAACGGGCGAACTAGGGTCGTGCTCGCCGCCTCCAACCTTGCCCCATCCAATGGCCTTGCACTCGCTCTTGCTCACTGCGCCACCTTCTACCGGCATGCAGATGGGAGCCACATCATGCGAGAATGTGACCTTCTGAGGCAGCTGCACCATGGTGATGTCGTACTTGGAAGAAGGCTGACCATCTTGATAGTTGCCGTTTCGGAGAATCTTTTAGAAGAAAAAGAAGTTCAAAATTGTGGACTTTTTGTATTTTGTTGGCAACTTACATGCTTTGGTGACACAATAATTCGGTGTTCAGTTCGGTTGGCAAGGTTGTGGGCGCCCAGGACTATAGCCACTCGGTGAATCTGGTAGTTAGGATGGGGACCGAAGCAGTGCGAGGCAGTGATGACCCACTGGTCATCGATGAGGGAGCCATCACAGGCGGCGTACATGGTTGGCAAGCCTTCTGATGAGGTGTACTCAGTCTGAATGTAGGCGATCCAGGGGTAGGCGTGAGGACTGGCTTCACGACCGCCGACGATGCGGCGAGAGGATTGGTGGGCAATGCCACACTGCACAGAGACCACTGGGTCCACTGTGAGGGCGACGACCAGAAGAGTGCAAGCAATGGCTGCTCGGAGCATTTTGGAGAGTGAGTGAGTGAATCAGTCCTCAACAGGTGTGTTGACAATTTCAGCCCATCATCGACGTCGTGCTTATATACCCCNAGCCTTCTGATGAGGTGTACTCAGTCTGAATGTAGGCGATCCAGGGGTAGGCGTGAGGACTGGCTTCACGACCGCCGACGATGCGGCGAGAGGATTGGTGGGCAATGCCACACTGCACAGAGACCACTGGGTCCACTGTGAGGGCGACGACCAGAAGAGTGCAAGCAATGGCTGCTCGGAGCATTTTGGAGAGTGAGTGAGTGAATCAGTCCTCAACAGGTGTGTTGACAATTTCAGCCCATCATCGACGTCGTGCTTATATACCCCAAAACAGCAGAGCACTTTTGACGCACTCAGACGCTGGAGTTGCAGATTTTCTATCACCTGACCTTACCCACTAAGGTTACACACTAAAAGTGACACTTGACAGTGAAGCAAACGTTACCTCTGCATACCCAAACATACACATTGAAAGCAGCCGCAACTGGTACTTCAAAGATGGCAAAAAAGAACGTGAGTGATTATCCGACAAAAAACTTGGCAGTCACATGTTGCACTCAAATGACTGATAAGCTGGCAAAGGTAACTAATGTGTGCACTTTTTTTGGTTAGCGCACTGAACTGAGGTGTAAATGGTAACAAGCACATTTTTGGGTTTGTTGGCGGTCTGAGCAGTAATTGAGAAGATTGCTCAAAAGTTTAACCTAGTGTCCACGGGACGGATCCACTTGAGAGATAAGGCAGAGTGATGATCTTTGCATTTGATAGTGATTACCGATTGACTAACTCTCCTTCAAATCGCCGATGTGCGACTGATACGATTGGCACTCGGGTCAGTTTACAGACAGTTGGCACACTCTAAACCCTCACGCTTTATCCATTGTACTTTTCGCAGAGACAGACTTTGAATCAAGACTTTGCATCAAGGGCTTTACCTCACAATAATGAAATCATCATCTCATTTGATTTAAATTAAAATCTTTTAAAAATGATCACAGCGATGGTAAGTGAAAATTGATTTTGCGATAACATTTGATCAATGATTGGCAATAGAATTGCCTGCCAAAAAGTTGATAAAATGTTAAAATGCAAAGGTTCATCAGAAACCTAAAAATAAGTTTACGGATATTGAGCAAGTGTACTTTTCAACTTTAGTACAACTTTATTTGGCTGAACTCGGGTTTAAGCTGTACTGTGAAAGCATGTCCAACAACGTGATGACCATTGATTTGAACTTTCCAGATCGGTCCTTTAGAGCGGTAGGATCCATTGCCGCAACCGGACCGTCAATTTTCATCCAAATGTCAGAGGGGAAATTCTTTATGCACATATCGGCGGTTTTCAGATCAGCACAGAACAGGTCAACAGCTTCACCAGACTGAAATTCATTTACAAATTAGTCTAAACAATAGCTCATTTTCTTACGTAAACATACCACATCTCCAATTAGGTCATCCCAGAAGTGGGCGTTCTTGTCGTGGCACAGCTGGACGTTTAAATCACGAATGCACTTCTGAAAAGTGTGAAAAATACAACAGGCAGAGCGAATATTTTGCTCCAGATCGCCTCCAATGCTCTGCAACGTTAGCATTCGGTAGTAAAACTTGTCCTCACACTGGTGAAACTGCTCAAAGGTGGCTGGGTCTTCAAAGCACTTGTTATGCTCTCTAAATTCGACGCCGTAGTCTGCATCTTTGCACCGTTTGTTGTAGTGATCCTTCAGACTGCCAAGAACTGTCTTGGCAAACATTGCCGGCTGGGCTGCCAGACACTTGTTTGCGTACTCATCCATGCACGTTAGCCCATGTTCGGTTACTCTGGTGAAACAATGTTTTGTTAAAACAAACTAGTTTTGGATTGGGATAATTCCTTACTTGCATGTCTCATCAAACGTTGCCTGGTCGCTGTTTGCCTTTCGGGCTCGATTACCAAAAAACTGGAGCTCAATTGAGCAGGTCGAGTCAATGTGCCCTAAAGTGTCGCACACTGAGTAAACTCCATCAGTTAGAACTGACAATACTAGTGCTGAAAAAAGGAGTACATTTTTAAATATTTTAACGCACTTTTTACAGCATTATTATTAAACATACCTATTGAGAAAATAACTTGCAATTTGAACATGCTTACACCGCGACTGTTTCACTCAAGGTTGTGACTAACTTTTCGTTCACCTCTGGGGCAACCCTTTAAATACTTTGTTTTGCTCTAACCAAAACATTGTTATGCTCTTTCACCAATTGCCATCAATTTGATCTGCACTCAACCGCAAGTGCGCAAAGTAAAAGTGGTAATTAAGTTAAAAGTTGTCGGCAAGTTAATTGCTAGAACAAATGATGTAAACAACAGTGAAAAAGTAACCAAATTAATTAATAAAGACACGAAAGTTGCTTTATAAGGTCTCTCATGACGATTCTAATGGTTGCAAGCTTTCGAAATTAGCACTACAGGAATTACCCTTGTGACTGCGAATCTTTTTGCTAGGTTTTGTAAAGTCTCGGAAAACTTTTGTGCGCTCATCCGTGACTAATCGATTTGAAGCTTTAATTTTAAAATGATTAAATTAAATGCGTTTTTAAATGAATTAAACTTAGAAATGACAAATATTTAAAAAAGATTTTTTAGTATCAGAAAAGGGCTGTGGCAACATCAAATTCAAAAGTATCAATACAATCAGATAATGTTGCTATAACAACAAACCAATATTTACTGAGGATTCATTGTTGAGACAGTCACATGGAAACGCTATCATCATCCTGTTTCCTTAGCAAGTTTCCTGAAATGAGCCTGAAAGTTGATGTTTTGAAAGGAAAAAACACATTTTTATGCGAATGAAAATGCTTCCATATAAAAGTGTGCGAAGAATATTAAAACGGTCGTCACTGTTTTCCACTTTCCTAGTTTCCATATCATCCTTCATTCTAGCCTGTGTCTTCTTTTGGCTATTTACGCAGGAAAACACCAAAACAACAGTGAATGATGTGGGTCAGTTTGCCTCTCAGGAGGACTGGTTCAAGTCGATTCTCTCTAATGACCATGTGTATGACCACGAAATCAGTGATCTCTTTGAGCAGTATTTGTTTCTCAGCAGCCAGTGCAGTCTCACCAGGCTAAAGTCGAAGCCAAAGTTCACCAAACTAGTCCTCATCATCATCGACGCTTTGCGGATTGATTTCTTGCCCACCATTTTAGGAGGAAAGAATGCAAAACAAAGAATGCCTTACCTTGAGAGGCTGTACCAAAGCAATGGAATTGCCCTTCAGAGCATTGCGACAATGCCAACGGTGACCGTGCCCAGCACCAAGGCGATCATCAGCGGCAAACTGCCGTCCTTCATTGAGTACCTGCAGAACCTGGATGCCTACACACTTGAGCCGGACAACATTGTCACGCAGCTAAGGGCGCAGAACAGGCGTATTCACTTCTTCGGAGACCACATCTGGGGAAAGCTGTTTCACGGTCAGCAAGTGTTTACACGGTACAACGAGACATTCACCGTGCCAGACTACGTGTCAGCTGATCGAAACGTCTCCTACAACATGAGACGCTCACTGAATGAGCTCACCGAGTGGGACGTGCTGATGCTGCACTACTCGGGCGTCGACCAAATTGGCCACATGTACAGCTACAACTCGGAGCTGTTCAATGCGAAGCTCGCCGAGATGGACAATGAGTTCAGGGAGATCTTCGATACGCTCAAAAGAGAACATGTAAGTCGTCAAAAACAAGTGTATATTGTATGCGAAAACTGAACAAGGTTTTTTGTTTTTGTTTAGGAGTCATCGCTAATCGTGGTCACCGGTGACCACGGCATGAGCGCCGAGGGCAACCACGGCGGAAATAGTCGCGACGAGACGCACACCCTCATGGTCTTTCTCACTCCTGACCGCGCCTTCATCAACGACTCACTGGAGGAGAAAACTGTGCCGGTGAACAGGCGAACCTTCCTCCAGGTCGATTTTGTGCCCACCATTGCCAGTCTCTTCCACTTTGCCATTCCAGAGAAGAGTCAGGGACGGCTCATGTCGCCCGTTCTGGACCGCTTCCACGTGGAGCCCCCACTGCACCTGTGCGCCCTCTTTGAGAACGTCTACCAGCTGCAGAATGTGACCAGCCACCTGCGGGCTCACCTCTCCCCCTACGTTCACCTCAATGCACACCTACTGGAGGCGATGAAGTACCACGTTCTTTTCCTACGCAGCAACCAACAGGTGACTCAGTATTACGAAAGCTCTCTCAAGTACTACCAGCAGTTTCTCAGCACTCTTCAGCAGTTTTACGGAGAAAATCAAAGCAACTTCTCCGTTCTTCTGCAATACATCTTGCTCATTGCCACCGGCTACATGTGCCTTTCCGTTTTGGTGTACTTTGAGTTTAGAAACGCAGAGTCAATACTCTTTTGGGACAAGTCTTTGTTTACTCCTCAAAGGTGGATAAAGCTCAAGGCAGTTCTGGCACTAGCAGTTGAAACTTTAAAGTCATTTGATATTCAACATTTTATAG